TTTTCTTTTCCTTTTTTTCTTTTATTTTAGACTTTGTTGCTTTTCTTCACCATCTTTTCACCAACTTTTACACACTGGGGACAATGAAATAAAATTTTGGGGAGATTGTCTTATCCGTACTGATTTATTTTCTTTGTTTTGTTTATCTTTTTATGCAAATTTAAAAAAATTTCTTTTGCTAAGAACTTTAGTATTTTTCAGGTATGTTTAACACAAAACTCTGATGATATTTGACCTACATGCTTCTAGATTATACATGATGGCTCTTTTTGTGTTTAGTACTAGACTAGGCGGTAGCTAGAGTACTTGCACTATTAATTCCCACCAGAGGAATTTTATTTATGGAGATTCTTTCTGACAAGAAACTCAATATTGACATCTAATTTTCTCATCATTGGTTCTAGGCAGACATCATGATATACATCTAGGACATCTTTTTCTTCATTTTTACCACTCTTTGTTGTCCTGGATGGCCAGTTCATCTTTAGATAGTAACATACCCTTAACTCAAGCACTTATGTTCGAACTTCATGTATTCTCTCTTTAGTTTTTATCGACAGATGTGTGCAAAAACGTCGGAGATGGAGGATCAACACAGTTTTCAGTCACTCGAGAAAAGGACTGAATAGAATTGGAAAGGAAGAGTATCGGCAATCTTATCAAGCTTAATGGTGCCTCAGAAAATTTCATTTTTAATGGTAAATTTCGTGTTTTCTAAGACTCTATATCCAAAGGTGTTTCCCCTTTTAAAAAAAAAATCAAAGAGAAGAATAGAAAAAGAAAAAGAATGAAAGGAAAGTAAACAAAAGCCTAAAGAGTCTTAGATGGTCGGAATTATTTGAAGCAAAGGCTACAAGTATTCATCAATGGAGTTATGGTTTTACAACCTAGACAAGAATCTAATTCTGGGGAAATTATGAGAAGAACCTGAAGAAGGAGATCAAAGATTCTATGGCAAGAAGAAAATGACTGGAAACTGTGGATAATATCCTGCTTCTTCAGAAATTAAGGTAACCCTAAAAACATCAAACCTCAGCCCTAAAAGACCTTTTGAATACCTAGCCTTGAATGCCTTGTTTATTATTCTTTTGATGAAAACCACTGGAACTTCTAATGAATGTTAAGAGCTAGTTGACTGGTAGCTGAATCTAAGTGTGTAGATTTTCGCATGACGGATCAACAGAATAGTTATGCTTATATTTTGGTGAGAATTTTCTAGGCTATAGACGATTAGAGCATGATGATTGATTTTAGTCTAGAAGTATGGTCACTGATATTTTGTTAGTTCCTGCTATTGTCAAACCTCTTTTCTAGGGTTAAATCTTTGTTTTGTTTGAGGACAAACAAAAGTCTAAGTCTGGGGGAGTTGATAACACCAGATTTTTACCGTTTTTATGGATCACTTTTTATGTCTTATGCAAGTGTTTTCACTCAGTTTTCAATGTTTTATATGTGATTTCCATGTTTTGGAGGTTTATAAGCTTGGACTTTTGGAGTACAATTTGGAGAAAAAGTACATTTTTGGATAAATTCAGGCTGTCTGAAGTTTGGCAACCAATAAAGATCTTCTCACCGTCTGATCATCCCCAAATTTGGAGACATTATAGAGGAGAAAACCATATTTCCAATGCAAATGTAATCAATTCAATCCAAAGGTTAAATCACCAAATATTATCAATGCACTGATGGAAGATCAACACTGTCCGTGAAGGTGAATCAGCTCTCACCTGCGGCTAAGACACTCTACGCCGCGGCTCAGCCACTCTCACCCACGGTGGACCTAAATCCGACCCTCAGAAGCCCAACCAAAGCCCAAGTAATTTCCTGCACTCAATTTACAAACCCTAGACGCCTAGAAGAGGAGAAGCACTATAAATACATTGTCTTTAGGTATTTTGTAACCAAGCCTCTTTCATGCGTTAGAGAGAGTACTTCATTTTAATCTTAGGTTTTACTTTTATGCTTTTGTAGAAGGCTTTTCTCGCCATACTTATCTTCAATAAGAGAAGCTTTTCTTCATCTTCTTTTTTTTTTACTTTATTGCTTTTGTTTTTTAAACGAATGATGATGTCAAGCTCAGCTATGTCTGAGTAGTTATTTTGTTGGTTAAAGGGGCCATCAAAAGGGATCCCATGATCGATGACATCTAGGTTTTTAGGTTAAAGGATTTCGATTTTAAATGACTCTCCTATTCATCCCGTTTTTAATGTTGTATGCTGGAGTAGCTAACCAGTATCCGATCTAAGGTTGAATCAGAGAAACGAGAGTGATGTATCAGATTGCCTAAACTGGATCTTATGGACGTAACCGTTGTATGAGACAAAAGCTACCTACGGAGGGGGTGTGAGCCGAGATGAATTCCAATCAAAACTGCATGAACTCTTTTGCAGCAAGAGACGAAAGCTATTTGTCGAGTTAGAGTGATTAGATGATTAGGGTAACGAGTGTTGGCTAATCTTATAAGTGTCTATTCTAGTTTCACAGTCATAAAAAACCTTATCTAGATTCCTTGTGTCATAGATCATGAACCCTATAGATAAATCCTAAGCCCAGCGCTGTTTTTCTATTGTTTTCAAACCGATTTCTTTTCAAACTTTTATTTTCTGCTTAGTTTATTAGAATTAGTGACAACCAAAACCCCCTTCAATCTGATTAAGTCTACAATTGTTCTTAGTATCAGTTAGGAGTCCTCAACACAGAAATCCCTGTGGATTCATTCCCTAAGTACTACTGCGTTTGTTGTGCACTTGCAACTTGTTTAGGGTAAAACTTGTAATAGCCCACTGCACCCACATCATCTCTCTCTCTCTCTCTCTTTCTCTCTCTCTCTCTCTCTCTCTCTCTCTCTCTCTCTCTCTCTCCCCCTCTCTCTCTCTCTCTCTTTCTCTCCCTCTCTCTCTCGCTCACTTTCTCTCTCCCTCTCTCTCTCATCTGCTTCAACTTCTTCCCACACACTCACAATCTACTTATTAGAATACGAAAAATCGCCAACCTCTGTTGCGTGCACCACCAGAACAAAACTCATCACTATTGTCACACCTATCACGCTTCCATTGCCCTAAGATCTGAGTGAATCTCAGTCTCTATCTTTAATATTAAGCCTTGCGACCACCAGATCTGAGTGAATCTCAAGCGCCATATCCTCTGCCGTTAAAGTCTATCATTGAATCTCAACCAGTGATTAAAGTTAACTATGGTTATATCTCATGCTCGAATATATAACTCTTAATCTCAGGTGGATGCATATATGACGAAGATGACGGTGGCTATGGTGAAGACAAAAAAAGGTGACTATGGGGGATAGCGGCTGATTTGTGCCTCAACTGCACATTCTGATACCGATTAGTGCTTCACAAAAGAGGTAAATGTGGTGAAAAGCGGTTGATTTGTGCCTCAACTGCACATTCTGGTACCAATTAGTGCTTGTATTTTGTTGTTGTGCCCACACATACCCGAGCTATAAATAATTTGAATATTCATGCCTGAACTCAATTTTTTTTTTTGCCGAATCATGCATTGACTCTAAAACCCGTTAGTCAATCATGTCAAATTGTTAACCAGACTGACTTACTTGCCACACTGGAATCCCCATTGGAACGCGAACATGATGTGATGTCGTTTTGTATAATTCTGGGAAAAAAACAAATTTACAGACTCGAGGAATCAAACCCTGAACCAATCCCATTGAACCGAGCCCAGAAACCAGTAAACAGGAGGTATTTGTTAATAATCTCACACTCATTATTCCAAGACAAACCAATACGACATCGTATTGGTTATTCATCTGTTTTAAGAAAATGAGAAAATATAATCGTGTGTTCTAAAGGAAGAAAGTTTCTCCCTCGAGTTGAATGGGACACTTGACAACGACGGTCGCAGCTGTGGTTGATTTTGGGGCAAATTGATTGATCCGGATAGATGTATGTATGATGGATATGGTAGAAGAGATAATTGAACGGAAAAATAGTTCAAAATAATAAAATTAATTTGTTATTATACTATGTAACTTTTATAAATTTACAGTTTACTAGAAAACATATTTTAGTATTGTTTATTATTCTAGTGTAGTATACAAATTGTTAATGTGTACAATTTCTTCGTATCACATTAAACAGTAATTCAAAACACAGGTTTTTTCTCACATATATACATTAACATAAAGTTAACAATTAATAATTTTATTATCTTATTAAGTAAAAAGTTAGATAGTAATTTATTTTATTTTTTTTGCAGATGGTTGATGTCCTAATATACTACTCATAGAAAGTGCTTATGAGAGTATATACAGGACTTTAGTTACTATTTGACATTATGTTTATTTTGTTGCTTATGTAGCAATACCCAAACATTCTACAACGTAGTTAATAGTTTAGATAGCTGTCAATGTCTTAGCTTTAGCTAAACATCGATATATTAAAGATATATAAATTGTTAGTAAATATAAATAATATATTAGAGATGATAAATAAATTGTTAGGAAATATAAATTTAGTGTTAATAAAGTAACATAATCCATACTGATGTAAACTTGAGGTAGTGATGATCGGTGGTATATTTATGGAGGCAAGAAGAATTATAAACAACTTAGAACCTGCTGTAGAAGAGTTTGCATGATGATTCGTATAAGGAGGATTAGATCTGATGGAGTTTCTCAACCTCAGAGGTTTGCGTTCATCGGATCTCAGGTTTTTGCGAAGCTCTGTATCGTCGAAGCTGTCGGCGGCATCTTCTCACCGTCAACTTACTTTACGCCCAAAACTGCCACGTGTGACACACGTGTTTCAATTTAGCAAGCGTTATCCCTTTTGTAATGGATTATAATTGGGTTTGAAATTGTACTGGTTTTGGGCATTGAATCATCATGTAATTTGCTTTTGGGTTTTAATATAATGGACGACAAAGAAAAAAAAAAGCTCTGTTTAACGAGTTTTCTAATTTAACACATAAGTGGATATGTGAAAAGTGTGTGTGTCTCGTGTGTGTGTGTAAGCAACATTTTTCTCAGAATAGTAAAATAAAAAATCCGGAATCAGAGACACAGAGATGAATGAATTACGATAGGATACGCTGATTTGCAGAGACACGTCCGCACTTACTCGCAACCACAAACGAAAACAATCCTCTTCGCTTGCGACGCCATTGGAGAAGAGGAAGAAGAAGAAGAAGACTATGCTTCTCTTACAACCTCCACTGGTTTCATCTCGGTTTCATTCCCTCTACTTCATCACTCGCCCCCACCACCGCTTTTTCCAACCGCCGATTTCTGCTTTCTCTGCAACCGCCCCTTGTTCGCCATCATCATCATCTTCTTCTTCTTACTCCTCCTCGTGGAATGTTTTAGATGCGTGTGAAGAAGAGGACGAAGACGATGAATTCTCCGTCGAGGTTCGTCGTCGCTATGACTTCTCTCCACTTCTAAAATTCCTCTCCAGATTCGGACCAGTCGAATTGGTTTTGGATTCGGAAGATTCGGAATCCTTTTCGCCGGATTCGCTTGATCCGGTGGAATTCGAGCTCGCCGAGTCTTACAAGGCGGTTCCGGCACCGTACTGGCACTCGTTACTAAAATCGTTATGCTCATCGACGTCATCGCTCGGTTTAGCTTACGCCGTCGTCTCTTGGCTGCGAAAGCATAACCTTTGCTTCTCCTATGAGCTTCTCTACTCAATTCTCATCCACGCGCTTGGCCGTTCAGAGAAGCTTTACGAGGCGTTTCTTCTTTCTCAGAAACAGACTTTAACTCCTTTGACTTACAATGCTTTAATTGGAGCTTGTGCTCGCAACAACGACATTGAAAAAGCTCTTAATCTGATTTCTAGGATGCGGCGAGATGGTTACCAATCGGATTTTGTCAACTACAGTTTGGTTATTCAGGCTTTGACGCGTAGCAACAAGATTGATTCAGCTCTTTTGCAGAGATTGTATAGAGAAATTGAACGTGACAAGCTTGAGCTTGATGTGCAGCTTGTTAATGATATCATCATGGGTTTTGCTAAATCTGGTGACCCTTCTCGGGCTTTGCAGATTCTAGGTATGGCTCAGGCAACAGGTTTGAGTGCGAAAACCGCGACTCTTGTCTCGATTATTTCGGCATTGGCGAATTCGGGGAGGACTTTAGAGGCTGAAGCTTTGTTTGAGGAGCTGAGACAAAGCGGGATAAAACCGAGAACCAAGGCTTACAATGCGTTGCTTAAGGGATATGTAAAGACAGGTCCTTTGAAAGATGCGGAGTCGATGGTTTCAGAGATGGAGAAGAGAGGTGTTTCGCCTGATGAACATACGTACAGTCTCCTCATTGATGCATATGTGAATGCAGGTAGATGGGAAAGCGCGAGAATTGTGTTGAAAGAGATGGAAGCTGGTGATGTACAGCCTAACTCTTTTGTTTTCAGCAGACTCTTAGCAGGTTATCGCGATAGAGGTGAGTGGCAAAAGACATTTCAAGTTCTCAAGGAGATGAAGAGCCTAGGAGTTAAGCCCGACAGGCAATTCTACAACGTGGTGATCGATACTTTTGGAAAGTTTAATTGTCTTGATCATGCGATGACGACTTTTGATAGAATGTTAAGCGAGGGAATCGAACCCGATAGGGTGACTTGGAATACGCTTATCGATTGTCATTGTAAGCATGGCCGGCATATTGTGGCAGAAGAGATGTTTGAGGCAATGGAGAAGCGAGGGTGCTTGCCTTGTGCTACAACTTATAACATAATGATCAATAGTTATGGTGATCAAGAAAGATGGAATGATATGAAAAGATTGTTAGGGAAGATGAAGAGCCAAGGAGTATTGCCTAATGTCGTGACACACACAACACTCGTCGATGTTTATGGCAAATCCGGTAGGTTTAATGATGCGATAGAGTGCTTGGAGGAGATGAAATCAGTTGGGCTGAAACCATCTTCAACGATGTACAATGCCCTCATCAATGCGTATGCACAAAGGGTATCGTGACTCTTAATAGTATCTGTAAGAGATCCTTAAAAGAAGCATCATTCGATAGTGATAGTTTCTTGATTCTTCCGTGCCAGGGTTTATCGGAACAAGCTGTGAATGCATTTAGAGTGATGACATCAGATGGACTAAAGCCGAGTTTGTTGGCTCTCAATTCCCTCATCAATGCCTTTGGTGAGGACAGAAGAGACGCTGAAGCATTTGCCGTGTTGCAGTACATGAAAGAAAACGTAAATTGAAGTTATCTTTGGCTAAAACCCATTTTGATGAACGTATTTTACTGACTGACCAACTCTCAAACAACAATTGTAGGGCGTAAATCCAGACGTGGTGACATACACAACACTCATGAAAGCTCTCATTCGTGTTGATAAGTTCCAAAAGGTATGAATCTTTTCGTTTGGTTGATGAAGGAACACCCGAAAGTAAGCACTAATATTTCGAGATGTGATGGTTTTAACAGGTACCGGGTGTTTACGAGGAGATGATCATGTCAGGCTGCAAACCAGATAGAAAAGCTAGATCCATGTTACGGTCTGCTCTAAGATACATGAAGCAGACGTTAAGAACCTCATAAAAAACATAAAAGAAGAACAATGCTAAGGTTTTATCTCGAGCTTGTATCATCATATCAAGCTCAGGTCAGAGATGTAATGACACAGACCACACATCACAAGAGGAAGTCTTTTCATACAAATCCTCACATTTTCTGTCTATGTAAATATTCACACTGTACAAATATATAACTGTTACGTAGACCAAATTGGATAGGGATACGTTGAAAATTCTAAACCAAATCTCATTTAATCAAATCTCAAATCCGAATAATTATGTCTGTCATGAGACAACATTCCTAAACTGCAGCAAATAAAATTAAGAATACAAAAGTTTTGCAACCAAAAAATTACTAACTTACAAGGGTTAACTGAATCAGAGAGCTTCATCAAATAGTTTTCATGGCATGACAGGTATGGAGTTTCTACCATACTTGCTCTTGGCTATCCTGGAACAGAACATGAACATCAGAAGTACCGAGGACAACAAGAAGAGCCTGAAGTAAGTTTTTATCTCCTGCATTCCGACATCGATCACTTCCATGTTCTTCCCATATCTGTTCTTCCTTTCCACCAAATAGCCATCCAAATATTCGTCTATGGAAACCCACTTATCTGCGGACTTGGTACTGTTTTCGTCTAAATGGAGCGGTCCCAGTTTGAAAATTGTGAAGAATGCAGCAGACCAGTCGTTGAGAACTCTCTAATAACAGCACGCGGAGTTGTGAGTTTCTACTCATGTTTTGGTAATAAACAGAATCATGATACAATCCAAAACATGGTACCTTAAAAGTGGGTAGATCAACAGGGTTGAACATTTTAAAGCAATCTCTTGAAGAAGTCTGGTTGTCCCCAAAGATCTGATAGTGATGGTAACAGTTATAAAAATATGGAACATAGGTTTCCATGCAAGTGTCAAGAGCAGGTAACTTCTGTCACACAAACCTCAAAGGTGAAAGCCATTGGTGTCCTTACAACATCATAGATATAATCCGTAGCTGTACCATGTGCCAGGTACCTAAAGTCGAGAAAACCGATTAAAACGGGCAAACACACATCCTAAAGGGGATATGATAACTTTTGAAACGAGTCTCAAACAAAACTTTATTTGAAAGGATAAATGAATTTGTTTTAAGGTTTTCTGCTAATATTGTTTAGGGAAGAGGCAAACCCAACAGAGCCTCCACCAGATCCAATCATGCAGCGGTTTTGGCAATGAAATTTATTCACTTGCTCAAGTAAGGTCCTCATCTTCAGCGAAGGCAATCCTTCTGGGGTTGTGTTTTTGTGGTCATATGGCATAAATAGAGCCTGAAAACATGAGAAATCGACATCAAACTTCTCAGCAAATACATCACAAAGACCAGATCAAGAGTTTTTTGCTATACAATTTACGGAATGTGAACATCCATGCAATCCATCATTCACACGATTACTCATAAACTCCAACAGAAGTAACTAACCTTTATTACAAGATAACACTAAATGAGAAGAGAAACATCACCTCCATTCCAGAATGCACGTTTATCCATATGTGGGGATCAAATGATATAGCTAGCTTCCTCATAATTTGAGTTTCAGGTTCACTAAATGGAGCAGTTCCTGGATTCTCTTCAGATGGATCATAATCCTGAACAGCCGATAAAAAAACGACAAAAGTTCCATGACACATTGACAATGGATCTTTAAGGAAACGGAATGTGAAGTTGATATGAAGAAGTACCTTTTCTTTCTTGCCCCAGTCAACGCCCCAATTTCGGTTCAGGTCAACTCCTCTTCCTGTTATTTACAGATATGATAAAAGATGAAATGCTAAACAAACGCATTAATAACCATATATCGGAGAGACAAAAGATGGTTACCATTTCTGCGTTCACAAAGATCTCCAGCTTCAACACGTTTACGACCATTCGAGTTTTCTATAGGAACCAGCTGAAAACAAAAAGATAACAGCATCTTGTGAGTAACTGAATCTATCAGAAACAACAAAATGAGAATGCACGTCCAGACACACTTACCTTTATGACTAGCTTGTCTAGAGTGCTGTTCAGGGTTACCCCGTTCTTCTTCGGTAAGAACTGCTCTTCGCTTAAAATTGACAAAATCCGAAAGGCAAGTTCAGAGGTGATAAGCTCTCTTCCATGCTGCCCAAAAGTCTGGAAGAAAATGAATCCTCTGTCAAAAAAACAGGTATTACACAAATTATGATGAAACTTCACCTACAGAAAGACTAAAGTGTCTACAGATTTTGATTAACTAAATTTTAATATTAATGGAAAAAAGAGAGAGCGATATCAAGGGAACTTACAAGAAGGATTCTAAAGTTTGACCTGTCATCACTCTCTCTTCCACCCCGACAATATGTAACCACGTTGAGCTCGGAATTGTAGCCCTTGTTTCCAGATTTAATCATCTCAATCTGTGAAACAAATACTGAAATTGGTTTACACATTTGTGCTAAGAATAAATTAACAATGACCTTAAAAATAAAGCCGCTGGCACTAACCGAAAGCTTATCTGGATGTCGATGTACCAAAGAATGTATCTGCTCCATTAAATCATCACTGCAAATTACATACAGAATGATGATAGGGCGTGTGAGGGATCAACATATATCTTAATTAGGAGCGAATTGGATCAAAGTTACTTGTTTTTGACTATTTTGGTGGTTGAGAGGCTTTGGCTTATAGAGAGATTAAACACTCAAACAAATCCTAAATCTCTTTTCTTTATATCCAAGGAAGTTCCAGAGTTTTGGCCCATAATCTCCCCTGGTGCATAGGTCCAGTCGTTCTTTACGCTTTAAGGCGTAAATCACACTTAGTGACCTTGAGTACTCAATTTCAAGACCACTCGACCACCACCTACTTGGTCCCTAAACTGTCTTGTTCTTCATGCTTGAGTAATAAAAGAGATTATCGACCTTGATTCTTATCAACGGGCTAAAACGAAATCTCATCTAACAGCTTCCTCAAACAAAACAACAACCACTAGAAGAAGCAACAACCAAAAACCTAAAACATTGTGAAAGGTGATACAAGTGCAAATGAGTTTGTTTTACTTGTTTTCTCTCGATTTTTGTAACACTTGAAGAAACAACCGAAATTTAATCATCTCAATTATGTGATAAAGTGAAACTCAGTTTTCATCGAAAAAAAAATTAGAGAGAGAATCACCTGGAGTGGTAGAGATCCCAGTTGATTGGAGTAATGAAAGACAAGTCGGAAGGATCAGTTCCGGCGAGAACGAGCAATAACAATGGTGGGAGGAAGATGGCGTAACATATTAGAGGTCGCAAACGCATGGCCGCTTTGAGAGAGGAGAAGAACGGAAGAGAGAAACGGGAAGAAACGAAACTCTTCTTCGAGTTTTGCTTCGTTGGGTTCCTTTGATGTCATCTCATTTCTTATTCTTCAGGTGTGAACAAAGAAAAAGAGACGGAGAGGGAGAGAGAAATGGATCTAATGTCTGTCAGAGATGGCTAGATCGGGCTTGTGTCATTCTTTTATTTTATTATTTTCCTATACTTTCTTCGGTAAAGTAATTTTAAAAATTCGGAATGATTCAATTGCAGTATATACGAAAGATATATTTACGAAACAAGTATAATTTTTATATAATAAGCAATATAAAATAATATTTGATTAGTGAAATAACGGAAAAAAGTCGATTAGTACCTCAACACTATAATCTGGTACTAATAAATATCCAAACAATTTTGATAGGTTAATCAGTACTTAAACTTATTAAAATTAGTAAATACATACTTCAACAATATTTTGTGGCCAATTAGTACATTGACTTTTTCTCTGTTAATCAAACCTATTAATTTGCAAACGGAATTGGATGCCACGGTGGATGCTATATTCGAATGAAACCAATACGACGTCGTTTTAGGTTAAAAATCTGGAAAAAGAAGCAAAAACGACGTCGTTTTAAATTTATTATACATTAAAAAATACACCATATATATCTTCTTTCGTCAGAAAAGAACATCGATAATTAGGGTTTGAAGGGTGTTCGAAATCAAATCAGAATGACTTCATCGTCGAATTCTAACGCTTCTTCGAAGACTCCTGGTAGGTTTAGGGTTTAGGGTTTAGGTTTACAATAAAATGTTTGAATAATGAACACGATAACAAATGATACAAATTATAAATTGTAAAATAATAAATATATATAAATAATATAATTGTAATTAAAAACTAAATCACATTTTTCGTTAAAATAAATAGATTTTTGGTTTTTTTATATCAAGTTATGTACTATTAAATAAATATGTTTATTGGTATTATTATTTTTTTGTCTACTATTCATCTACTAAGCCACGTCTTGATTGGTAAGATGATGATTACGAATATTTACCCCCACCGATTCTGTCTGACTTATATGAGAGAATATGATACCACATACTCGAGCCTTTCTAGCGAGAGAATCGGCTCAGGAGTTTAAATCTCGGGGAATATGAATAATAAGGGAGGGGTATAAGAGTTGAAGTGATCCTGGGAGACCTCAATCTCTTCCTCACATTCTTTTCGGTTCGCTATCCTCCAGCTTTCCGCTTTGAGTGAAGCTAATTGGAGTGTATTCATCGCTGGAGTATCTTTCCGCTAAACAGTTTATCATTTCTTGCTTTCCATATGTACCATATGATCCAAGGATAAATGTCTTTATGTGGTTCAGATAGACCCACTTCTTTTGTTCTCCAAAATAGGAAGTACTCGGGAAGAAACCCGGAAGAGACGGAAAGTCTGATAATGCCCCAACTTTTAAGGCCGGGGGACATTCAAAAATAAGATGGTTGCTAGATTCTTCAGGGCCTCAACATCTAGGACAGCTCATGTCATTGCCTATGTGTCTATAAGTTAATCTTTCACAAGTCGCCACACATCCCGAAAGCGCTTGCCACGTGAGTGTTTTAGTTTCTCCGCTGTGCGGATTTTCCACACATGACTTTGGAGGCTACTGATACTTGGTTCTATCACCTCCGAATCCCCACATAAGTTAAATTTCTGGATTAAATTATATCTGGATTTCACCATATAAGTTCCTTATTTTGTGTGATTCCATGCATACCCATCAAGAGAAAAATTACAACTAGGTCTCAACCCAAGTATAAGAAGGATATCCTCAGATTGGAAGTATTCATGAAGAAGGGGGACATTCCACTTTTTAGTATCTCATTTAATAAATGTATGAACCATGACCTGAGGGTGGCGATAGCCTATCCCGACAGAAGCTCTCGTAG